CCTGGAGTGAAGTATTTCAAGCCCTAAAAGAAAATAACTTCCAACCTAGACTGTTGTATCCTGCAAAATTATCTTTCAAAATCAATGGAGAAATTAGATACTTCCATGACAAAGAACACTTGAGAAATTTCATGAACCCAAACCAGCACTCCAACTCTAAGCAATATCCTAGAAAAAGACAATTAAGGCCACAACTCCATGAGGCCCAACAGAGGGAAGCCACCAGGCAAGGTAAGAAACTAAAGGGAAAGGGGGAAAAATAAAAGAGCCAACAACAGGAAAACATCATGACATGGATGAGTCCATATCTATCAATTATAACCATCAATGTTAGTGGCCTCAATTCACCAGTCAAAAGAAATAGACTGGCAGAATGGATTAAGAAGCAAAATCCAGCAATATGCTGTATACAAGAAACACACCTAACTCAAAAAGAAATTCATAGACTGAAAAAGGACAGAAAACAGTTCTCTATGTGACAGGAAGCCAGGAAAAAGCAAGGGTAGCAATCTCATTTGCAGACAAAATAGATTTCAAACCAAAACTAATTAAGAGAGACAAAGATGGCAGTACATCCTTGTGAAGGGAACAATTGAAGAGGCAGAGATGACAGACAATCATAAATATATATGCATCGAATATGAATGCCCCCAACTATACAAAACAAATATTAATGGACATGAAAAATCAAATAAGCACTAATACAATTGTAGTGGGGGACTTCAATATGCCACTATCACAAATAGACAGATCATCCAGACAAAAAAAATAACAACAAAATTTTAGAACTGCACCAAGCTATTGAACAAATGGACTTACTAGATGTTTACAAAGCGTTCCACCCCACAAAATCAGAATACATTCTTTTTGGCTACACATGGGTCATTCTCCAAAATAGACCACATGCTAACTCATAGAACATATCTAAGTAAATGTAAAAGAATTGAAGTTACCCTCAGTATATTATCAGACCATGGTGCAATAAAATTGGAGGTCAATAACACAAGAAACCACAAAATTACCAAAAATACATGGAAATTGAATAACACCCTCTGGAACAACCAATGGGTCACAGAGGAAATTAAAGATGAAATTAGACAGTTTCTACAAGAAAATGATAATGTCATTACAACATACAGGATTCTATGGGACACAATGAAAGCAGTTCTATGTGGGAAATTCATAGCAGTGAATGCCCATATTAGGAAAACAGAGAGAACTCAGATAAATAACCTAATGCAGAACCTTAAGCTCCTAGAAAAAGAAGAACATTACAAACACAAAGCTCATACAAGAAAGGAAATTATAAAGATCAGAGCAGAAATCAATGCAATGGAGACTAAGAGAATGATACAAACAATTAATGAATCAAAGAGTTGGTTTTTTGAAAGAATAAATAAAATCAATAAATCTTTAGCCAACCTTATCAAAAACAGGAAAGAAAAGACTGAAATCCATGGAATTAAGAACAAAAAAGGTGAGGTCACAACAGACCCAGCAGAAATCCAGAGGATCATCAATACCTACTTTGAGAACCTGTACTCTAATAAAATGGAAAACACAGAAGAAATGGACAGATTCCTAGATA